GCCCAGAAACCCCTCAATTCCAATCATAGTTCTATCACTACATCAACAAATATGTTTATCTTGCTTTTGAATGCATCTACCTTCTCCCCTTCCTCCTTCTCCTTCTTTTACTTTTAACCATACCATTGTTGTTGTTGTTAGCTGCCATCAAGGCAGCCCCAAATTCATGGAGGCCCCATGTACAATAGGATCAGATTATTGTGATCCACAGAGTTTTCATTGGCTTAGTTTCAGAAGTAGATCATCAGGCCTTTCTTCTTAGTCTGTTTTAGTCTGGAAGCTCTGCTGAAACCTGTTCAACATCATAGCAACCTACAAGTCTCCACTGACAGATGGGTGGTGGCTACACGAGATGAATTGGCAGGAATACCATGTTAAAGCATGGTGTTTGCCCAATCTTGACCAGAAACTGAATGTCTCACTCTAACCAACCCTTCTCCTTATTCTTACTTTATCTCTAAACCCAACCACTTTGTAAAGCCTTTCATGACCATTCTTGTTTGAGATGAATTCTCTCTGCCTCCTCTGGTCTCCTATATCCTACTTCTGCCTTCATTTTAATTTTGCTTAATAAGCATTTCTTAAAGACCAAGTGTGTGTCAAGCCCTTGTTAGGCACCATAGTATAAACATGAATGAGACAAAGTCTCTCCCTCAAGGATTCAAGGGTCTGGTAGTCAAGCTAGACAGGCAAACAAATAGTTGTTATGCAGATAAGTGCTCCAATACAGGGATGTCCATAACAATGATCATGAGGATGGCGCAGGACCGGGCAGTGTTTCGTTCTGTTGTACATATGGTCACTATGAGTTGGAATCAACTCACTGGCACCTAACAACAACAGTAACAACAGGGATACCCAATGACATGGAGGATGACATGGTCAACATTGCCTGGGAGTGGGTAGGGGAAGGGACTCCACAGGGAGGGGATGCTTGAGGTAGATCTTGTGGAAAAGAAGTTTGCTAAGCTGAGTGTAGAGGTGAGAACATTCAAGGCCAAAGGAATAGCATGTTTAATGGTACTGCAGTGGAAAGGAACAGGGCCCCAAAGGAACTGAGAGACGCTGAACTTACGAGGAGTTAAGAGGATGAACAGGAGGGGGGATGGAGGTGGAGCTGTGCAGCCAAGGAAGAGCTGGGTTGTGCAGGGCCTTACCAGCAGCATTACCCAGTGTTCCCCTATGGACTGTGGGAAGCCTGTACAGGTTGAAGCAAGGGGGCTGGCATGATGAGAATTCCCCTGTGGAGGAAGCACTGGAAGAGACCAGACTAGAAGTGGGGTGCAATTAGAAGACCACTGCAAAAGTCCAAGCAAGAGACGACAGTGGCCTAGATAACTTGGTGGTCCCAGAGATGGGGGAAAGTGAGGGTGGCAGAAGCGAGGTAGAGTTGACAAGTATTTGCAACTGAGATAAAACAAGACTTTGATAACTCTAGTCTTAAAGGCCTTTCTAGCCCCAAACAAGCTAACTCCATCCAAGGAGACCTATAACATCTTCACAGGCCTGAATTGTCAAGGGAAAGCTGCAGACAACCTCCACAGCCAGGATTCCATGTTATGCCTCTAGTCCACGTCTTCGGGGCTATGGCACAGAGCCCTGATTAATTTCTACCATTGCCCTGCCCAAGTATGCATCTTGAGTATGTCTTTAGTTAATTAAAGTAAAATAAAGTGATTTTATTTTCATGTTTTATAAAAACAAACACCTTGAGAAAAACAAGCCAAAAAAAAAAAAAAAGGGGAGACCTTTAAAAAAACCCATTGCTCTCAAGTCAATTCTGACTTATGGTGACCCCACATGTTACAGATTAAAGACCTATTGAAATTCAGCATAGAAACTGGTTACTACCTTACCCTGTTTCAATCTAGACGTTTCCAAAAGTAAGGCAGTTGCTTGACAGAGCACAGTTGTTCTCATTTCTTTGTGCCATCTCATGGGAGTGCTGCAGTGGGGGTCTGGAACTTACCTGGAAGCTGACGGCAGGCCAGCCCAGCCCTCTGCACACCTGGCCTACAGCAAGCAAGCATCCCCAGAGCTCATGCAATGGCATCTGCTCTCCTGCCTGCTGCAAGGCGGATGTCGTTGTGGTTACACTGAGAATCCACTGCCTTCTGTGAAAAATATCATTGGGGTCACAAACCCTCCTTGGTGGCTTTGACAAGTTCTCTTGGCATTCCCCACCCCCACCCCATGGTGCTCTGTACAAGGGGCTGCCAATCCCATGGTTGACACTTTTCTTAGCTGCAGGACTAGAAGGTCCCCAAGCCAGCTGCAGCTCACTTCTGGAGACTGAGGTGGGGCTATTCTCTCTTCAAGCATTTCACTCCAGACTCTGGCCATCATCAGGATCAGGGACCTGGTTCCCAAGATCCGAGTATCTGGAGGTTGACTCTGCCCCCCTCTCTGCTTCCTCCACTGGACAAGGTGTACTTTTGTGTCTATTTTTAAAAACATCTGGGTTGAGACAAGGTAAGGAAGTAACCAGTTTCTATCACCCTCCTTTGATCATCCTCCTGTTTGTATCGTTCGGGCAGCAGGGCTGTTTGATACTTCTCCCCAAGTGGGAGTAGAGACAGAGCAAAATGGGAAACTGCTATCTAAAATGAGGGTTGCCGTCTTGGTGGCCTCTCTGGGCTTGGCTCTTTCCTTGTCACCCTCATTTCTGTGAGTTAATGGATAGCACACAGACCATCACCTGATGCCAGGGAGTCATAACCATCATTATAAAGGTTTTTTCTTCCCCAGCTTCCCTCATCTTCCATTTGAAAACGCTACATGTACTAGTACAAGCTCTCAATGAGACAAGTACATTGCATCTACTGCAGCCACCCTGGAATAGCAAAACACGAGAAACTCCCTAAGTGTCCATTAATAGGGAAATTAAATGATGAAATACCATATAAAATGCACTCATTTAAAAAATGGGGATCAGCAGCCATCCAAGGCACAGTTGGTCTCTATTCAACTGGAGCAACAGAGGAAGGAGAGTCGGGAATAGGAGGAAGATATGGAATGATTTGCCTCCATAAACAACTGCCTCCTTTGCCATGAGACCAGAAGAACTGGATGGTGCCCAGCTATCATTACTGAACATTTTGATCAAAGATTCTATAGAAGAATCCTGATCAAAACAGGGAAACTGCAGAGCAGAATTTCAAATTCTCATGGACTTTCTGGAGCCATGGAAGCTGGCTGAACCCCTGAAACTATTGCCAAGAGTTCATCCTTGAATCTTGAACCAAAAATGTCCCCTGAAGTCTTCTTAAAACCAAACAGTAGTTTAACTAGTAAAGAATATTTCCCTTGAGCACTGTGCTCTTTCAAGATCTATCCATACGGGATCAAACTGACAACAGCAACTCGAAAAATTAGATAGGAACCTTAGGGGACAGCGAGTTTATATCAATACAGGAGGAACAACTCAGAAAAGGAGGGTGAGAATGGTTGCACAACTTGACGAATGTAATCAGTGTGACTGAATTGTACATATAGAAACTGTTGAGTTGGTGTATGTTCTGTGTATATTCTCAACAACAACAACAGAACAAATAAAATTTAGAAAAAAATTATATATATAAATACATATATATATATAAAACAAAAGTAAATAAAAGAATGGGGATCTACAGGTGCCAACACGGAAAACTTCCCTTCTTCTACTGTAAAGTAAGAAAGGTAAGTTGCAAAACAACATATGCAGAATACAATCTCATCCACAGAAAACAATGCCCAAGCCTCTGTTTGTGCGTGGATACTGTCACTCAGCTGTGACAGTGTTTTTTTCTGGAAAGTAAATGACTGTGAAGAGAGTGAGAGAGGGGGCTTTCCTTGTATTCGTTTTTCTATTGTCTCAAGTTTTTCAAGAACCCATCACTCTTGTAATTTACAAAAAAAACACTTTAAAAACATTTCTAAAACCATGTTCAATGATCGAGTAAGCATCTTGAATGCTTGGTGGAAGAGGGGCATTGAAATCAAAGTAGTGAAACACCCGTCAGACACTGGAGTCTGGACCCTGTGAAGGAGTTCAGTTCAGCCACCTCAGCTCAGTCCGTGCCATGGCGGCATCTGGGAATGGAGGGCACACCATGAAGTGGAACACGGTCCTCCCCAGGCAGAACTCACAGGTGGGGCAGGCACATGGAACAGACAATGCCAGGTGACCTGACTAAACCAAGCAGCAGCAACACCAGCTACACTCACCATGGGATTCAAACAAGGGGAGAAAGGGAGACGGGCAGGACTCTTAGGCTGGAAGTTCTCAGGACAGCAACAGGCGAAAAGCAAGAGGGCACGTGTGTGCCAAGGTCAGAAGAAGGAAAATTGCCTCCACTCAAGCATTCACCCAGGCCACACACATGCTCCTGCTGAGCAACCAGAGCTGGGGACAGAGAAACAGATGAGGCCCAAGTCAGACACCACTCCAGTGGCCCCAGGGTTTTAATAGGGGACATTCCAGGCAAAGGGGAACAGCAAACGCAAAGGCCGGAAGCACAGAGGAGCAGAGTTGAGATACCTCAAGCCCTGTGAGGCTACAGCGGCAGGTTCTGGAAAAGACAGGGGCAGGAGACTGGGAGGAGCCAGCACGCAAAGGCTCCTCGAGCCAAGCCAGGGAGTTGAGGGCCCGTCACAGTGACACTATCAGATACCCTCTAGGACAGTAATTTTCACAGCAGGGTGGTTGGAGGACTGGCCGGGAGAGAGACTGGTATGGAGGTTCTGGAATGGACCCAAGGCGGGAAGAGGCTGTGTGTTCCCAGGAGGGTTATCTGCTAGGAGAGGGACCTGATGGGTGTGGTCAGCAGAGGACTGTCCCCCTCCCCATGAAAGTCCTGGTGGAGGTGAGAAGGCCCTTCCTCGGTGGGTACCGGGACTGGCCGCTCTTCCCAAGTTCTAGAGAAGTGGGCAGGTCACTAACCCCTCTTCTTCTCAGCTGTCAGTACCCATTTTGCTGACAAAAAGCCTCAACGTGATAGCTAGCGTGAGAGACACCCGCTGAGGGCAAAGGAAGTGGACGCTCACTTCTCCATCCCTGCCCGCTCTCACCCTCACTTCTCGGAATCTTCCTTTAATCTCTCTTCGTCCTCTGTCTCTGCCACTCCCACAAGACAGCCATTTCTAAACCACTTCCAAGGCCTGTTTCCAAGCCCTTCTCATCCTCAGCCCGCAGTTCTCAACTGCCCCCGGCTGCCCCGCAAGCCGGCCTCGAAGGCCCCCATTCGCGATCTCCAACCCCCTCACCGGGCTGGAAGGTGACAACCGCGAAAAGGAGGGCGACTCTCGGCGGGGGCTTGGGTGACATCACATCCTCCGACGGCGAGATCGGGCGGCGGGCCGGAGGGCGCCCCTCCCCGCCCCCGCCGGCTCCGCGTGCCTGCCCTGGGTCTGGGATTGTCGCTGAGCTGAGCCGCGGAGGAGCGCGCCATGGCCTCGCCGGCGACCGCCCTGCTCCTGCAGCTGGCCCTTCTGCTCCGTGAGTTTACTACCCCGAGGAAGGCAGGCGGGTGAGGCTGAACGGGGCGCGGGGCTCCCGGCTCAGCTGGCTGCCTTGTCGCCCACAGACGCCGCCGCCTCCGCCGCCCAAAGGCCGAGTACGTTCAGGATGTCGCCGCTGAAGGTGCAGGGGACCCTGGGCAAGTCGGTGGAGCTGGAGTGCGAGGTGCTGCTGTCCAACTTCGCGTCGGGCTGCTCGTGGCTCTTCCAGAGGCCCGACGCCGCCACCAGCCCCACCTTCCTCCTGTACATCAGTAGCAGCCGGCCCAAGCCGTCCTCTGATCGGTACTCCGGCTCCAAGACCGAGAGCAGATTCAAGTTCACCCTGCACGACTTCCAGGTGGAGGACCAAGGCTACTATTTCTGCTCAGTCGTGAGCAACCATGCGCTGTACTTCAGCGCCGTCGTGCCGGTCTTCCTCCCAGGTGCGGGGCGCCGGGCGCCGGGGGTGGGGGACTCACATCTGAACCCATTCTTCACACGGACTACCGCTGTCGAGCCTCATAGCGCCCCTGGGGGCTGCTTAGCTACTGTTCCCATTTCACAGACGGGGAAACAGGCTGAGATGCGGCTGGCTGAGTAGGGACTGGAGATGGCTTTCTATAGCTGGCCAATTTGGCCGCGAGGTCGGGTGTGATGTGGTTCTGGGCACGTAACTTCAATGCTCTGAGCTGCCGTTTGCTCGGCGGGAAAGTGCAGGCATCAGCCCGAGCTCACGGGGCTGCTGCTTGGGCCCCGGTGAGAGGCTGGGTGGCGGGAGGAGGGTCCCGAGTGCCCGAGGCTCGGCAGAGCCCCGGCCGCCGCGAAGGGGTCTGCGCCAATCCGCGGCGGTTGCCACCCAGTCCACTCCTTTTCCCCTCTCCCGGGCGCTGAGTTCGCCGCCGCCGGCGTTCCAGCGCTTCTCAGGAGGCGCCGACCGGGCAAAGGCGCAAGGGTGGGGCGCGCGTCCAGAGCCGCAGCCAGACCCCCAACCACGCTTCATTGCTCCTGTAGAGAAGCCCGTCACGACGCTCGCGCCGCGCCCACCGACGCCGGCGCCCACCAAGGCGTTGCAGCCCAAGTCCCTAAGCCCAGAGGTGTGCCGGCCGTCGGCGGGCCGGCCTTCGGCGGGCGGCGCAGGTGAGTCGGGTGCGGGGTCTGCGGGCCGCGGCGGGCCGGGGGATGGTGCCGACAGCGGGGAGAGCCCCTGCCAAGGGCGGCCTCATCCTAGAGGTAGAGGCGAGGGCTGTCCAAGTGGCATGGAAGCCGAGACCCGGAGCAGGCAGCCGTGCCCAGGGTGGCGGGGCGGTATGGGAGGGTGGTAGGTCCTTTCCTAAATGTCAGCGTGTTCGATGTCGTCAGTGGACTCGAGGGGGCTGGGCTTCAGCTGTGATCTCTACATCTGGGCTCCCCTGGCTGCCACCTGTGCGGTCCTTCTCCTGTCACTGATCGTCGCCGTCATCTGCAGCCACAGTAAGTCTTGGAGAATCACGGCGGGGAGGGGTCAGTCCCGCTCACGGCCTTAGCGCTGCTTGCTCCAGATAGGCAACCCTTGCGGGGAAATGGGGTTGAGATTTCTGGGGCTTCCGAGCTGGGCCGCTGGGCCGCACAGTCTGTTTCTTGGAGAAAGAACGCGTGAAAGCCACTTCCCGCCCCACTTTGCACTCTCCCGGACGTTTTAAGGAAGGCAGAGAGCACACCATCAGGGTTTATGGCAAACGCCCGCGGGGGAGGGGGTCGCTGGTGGCCCTGGAATCCGTGCCCAGGAAGGTTGGGTCAAAACCACAACCGATTTGAGGTTTGCTCTGGCCTCCTCTCCAAACCTCTCTCTCCTTGTTTGAGCCCCAGATTAGGCCGGCAGATTCTGCACTGTTCACCTGCATCTGTTATTGGCAATTTAAAAAAAAATAACGTCTGGGAAGACCCCTGGAAAAGAAGCCCTCACCTGGGCTCTCAAGAGTTATAATCCCCAAAGGAATAAGAAAAGGGAAGGAAAAACCCTACTGGGGGGCTACTGGGGAGTGGAGAGAGTCACGTTTTCCTTCTTTTTTCTTATCCAGGGAACCGAAGACGAGTCTGCAAGTGCCCTAGGTGAGTCTTCTATGAGCCCTGGTCTGTTCTGGCTTCCAGAGAAGCAGCCTTTTCCAGAGGGAGTCACTGCAGGGTGCCCGGGGGACAGGGAGTGAGCTTAGTCCCTGAGCAAAGAGAGGCAGAAGGCTGGGCACGTGGCTAGGTCTTTGAGGAAGTCAAGGCCCTGGTAGGGCTGGTGGGGAAAGCAGTGTGGCTTCAGTAAATCTCCTCTTTATTTAGCCCATCACCAAAAACCATCTGAGTGATCCCACCAGTTCACCCTAGCTCCTCAAGTACCTGAGGTACTTGTTATCTGCGTCATTCCACGTGGGTTTTATTGTTTTCATGAGGAAAACTCCCTCTTCTTTTCCCTTCTTGACTGGTCTGGTTTTTTGAGGGACAGCCAGTCCTTTATCACCTGAACCAAATAAATAATGGCCTTGGTTTCTAATTTCCTTGTGCCAATGAAGGGCCTTGATCTGCTGCCAAGGACTGGAGTGGAGGCGTGAGGGGCCAGATGCAGGCAGGGTCAGACTAACCAGTAAGCATGGTATGCACGGGCTTAGCTGTATTTACTCACTAATCCGTAGTGCACAATTTCACATGGGTTTCACCACATATTTGATGTGAAAAACAGGTGAAATCGTGCACTACAGATTAGTTAGGAAGTGAATGTGCACCTTGCTTATTGGGTAATCCATCCCTGGCAGGGGCAATTAGCTGTCTATCGACTACTCCACCCAATCCAAGCCCTGGTCATTCTGAAAACACTCTAGGAGAAGCGGCTCCTCTCCTTGGCCCTGAGGCAGGAGGCAGCCCTACAGCAACATTCCGCCAGCTCCTTCTCAGAGGCCAGCACTGTGATGGGGGCCACGATCTCTCTGAATCTTCACAGCAACCTCCTGTGGTAGACACCGTGCTCCCACCTCCCAGATCACTGGCTCAGAGATTAGGAAACCTACTCAAGGTGGCAGAAGTGTGATTACACTCAGATTGTTGATAATAATGACCACTGGATGGAAGTCTACAGTATGATTAGTTACTTGTTTTGTATATATTTAAATTTCACGTTTAGTGACAACTTTAAGGTCGTTACAGTGACCTACATTTACGGAGGAGGAAACTGAGATTTAGAACATTTAGTGACGTGTCCAAGGCCATGCCACCAGCAAACAGCAGAGGTGCAACGTCCATCCAAAGCTCACGCTCCTTCCTGGGGGCTGTAGTGGGGGGCGGGAGAGCCTAAGGGTAAGCAACTAGATTCACTGGCTTCTTTCAGTAGGTGAAAATATTTCAGATTTTATACATCTGATTTGCATTTCTCACTCCTTGGTATTTCTCTGTAGGGATCCAAGTTCAGTGTCTTACACATGATTATTCTTAACAATGGAAGTGTAAGGACTTTCCAGTGCGTCTGTTGCAGATGATATACCACGGGGATAAAGTGTCTTTAAAAATAGAGAAGGATCGTTTAGCATTTTTATTACTTGGTGTGCAGATGGGAGATTTTGGAGTAGAATCATCTCTTATCTCCATCTTTTCTGAAAACTCTCATTTTGAAATGAATAATTGAGAATAAAATCCTGCCATGAAACACAAAGCTGTACAGACTAAGCACATTTGAGGAATCCACATGCCTGAGTTAATACACTGATGATCATGGGCAGTACAGCCTCTACAAAGAGGTTTTGGAAGACAGTGTGTATAGATATGACACTCAGGATGAATTCGCCATTTTAGCAGGCCCTAACCCAGTGCTAAAGTAACACCTATTTTAGTGTAACGTCAAGTTCGGGTTGTCAGAGGGACTTTTAGATAAAGTAGCTCTACTTGGCTGATGGTGGTGGTTGGCTGCCGTCCCTCCCTTCCCTGTGATGGGGGTGGTGGTGGTGGTGGGAGGGCTGAGAATCAGGTCAGCTGAAGAGTTTGGTTATCTGCCCCATTTTCTTGCCTCCAAGAAGCTAGACCGACTGGGTCCGTATTCTGGCTCAGGCACCTCTCACCCCGTGCCTACCCCTAAGGTTGCTGTGAGTATGACATGAGATAGTATGGGTAACGCCTTTAGCAGAGTTACCCAGGTCATTCAGCCAGTCCCGTGCTGGTGCCCCAGGGGACACATCCTTTTCAAAGGCTGTGGGGGCTGGGGGTTGGTCATGAGCAAATACTGCATTGAAAGGGCTCTTGCTGCAATGACAGTCAGCCACCTCTCTTTCAGGCCCCTGGTCAGGCCGGGAGGCAAGCCCGACCTTTCAGAGAAGTACGTCTAATACAGATACACGCCCTGTGTGTCAGCCACTACAGGACCTCAAACTGAGATCTGTCCTCACGAGAATGAGCAACCGCCCTTCCCTTTCAGCTTTCCAGCCTTCCTTCCTTGTATAGTCATTCCATTATTATTCTTTTAGTGGGAGTGGGAAAGGTTACTTTTTAAAAAATGTGTTTATTTTGATGAAAGCAAAATGAAACTATCATGTCTACAGTACACCACGAGGATCACAATACCACTGTACGTGTATATTGGGGTAAAGGGCGCAAAGGGGTGGCCACAGCCACTATGCGAGCTGTGTTCTCAGAATCACGCCGTAAGAGCTGGTGGGGACCTTGGCTACGATTCAGTCCAAACCTCTTCCCAGACCATTTTACGACTGAGGAGGCTGACATCCAGAGGTGAGAAGCAGCTTGTCCAGCATCACACAGAAAGTCAGGGTTGCAGCCAGAGCTGGGGGAACCCTTGACTCCCAGGTCGGACTCTTTTCTTCTCACCGCTGAAGTCTGTCTTCCGGGGGCCTCTGTCTCGGGGTGGGGGTTTGCGTCTCAAACCACAGGAAACAAGGATTTTGTGAGCACTTATGATACACCATTACTGTGCCCAGTTTCATAATGTAGTTGAACAATAGCAGACCTTTTATAGTCAAGCATGAAATTGTATACAGTAGGAATTCATAACTAAAGTGGAAGGGGTGAGTGAGCAGGTAATAGGAGCTGACTCTTGGAAAACGAAGCACTCCATCTCCAAAGAAAATGTCTGTGAAAACCCGTGGTACTGTTGCTGTGGTTAGTTGCACTCAAGTCGGTTCTGACTCATGGCGACCCCACGTGTGCAGAGAATTGCTCTACAGAGTTTTCAAGGCTGTGACCTTTTGGAAGCAGATTGCCAGACCTGTCTTCCTATGCACCTTTGAAATTCCTCTCCCAGTGCTTACATCACAGAGGGACCCAGGAAGGACAGACTACCCTTTTACAAATGAGTGGGGGAGCCCTGGTGTCACAGTGGTTAAGAGCTTGGCTGCTAACCAAAAGGTTGGCAGTTCAAATCCACCAGCTGCTCCTTAGAAACCCTATGGGGCAGTTCTACTCTGTGCTATAGGGTTGCTATGAGTCGGAATAGACTCGATGGCAACAGGTTTGGTTTTATGGGTAAAGTTGAACGGAGGGCCTTGTGAATGTCGAAACGTGAGATACCATATTCCAGAATCATCAGTGACATCTGAGTTTTGTAAAAACAGCCTGTGGTCTCCCGTCAACCAGCAGAAGAGACTCTGGTGAGCAGGCTGAGTGTGAAAACTACTGCCCTACACGTGCATTTCCTCTTTCATGGTGTTGTACAAGACCTAGTGGTCAATGGGAGAAAAAGCTCAAGTAGATACAGAAATAAGAATCACCCTTATTCCTATAAGAATCAGGTATAATCCATTGCTAATATTATTGTATATGCTCTTGATTCTTTTCCATGCAGGTATGTAAAATGTATGCTTTGTCTTTTTAAAAATGGGATTGCACCATGCTTTTATAAGTGGTTTTAATAAATAAACATTTATAGCATCCTTTTTAAAGGGTGATTAGCATCCCATATTGGGTTGTGACATCATTTACTTAACCAATTCTCTATTACCTGCCACTTAATTGTTTCCAATTTTTCACTACTATAATTACGCGTCTAAAAGTTTGCTGATGTCTTCGTTTCTTTAGGATAAACACCCAGAAGTAAAATTATCCAGTTAGTTCTCACTTTCATTCTGGACTTCCCGTTTTCTCATCAACCAAAACTTAGCCTCTTCTCACTTCACTTCCCTTCCTTTTGTTCTTTCTTGTAATAAATCAGAAAATCTGTGTTCCCGCACCTCTTCCCCCTTATTTACACCCATCTGTGGACACGTTCCTCCAAAGTGAGGCAGGTGAGACAGAAACTTCGTATCCACAGATGTGTCTGAATAAAGAACAGGCCTAGAAGATGGATCAGCACACGTGGGTAACCACCCCCACCCCCACCCCCCGCATAGCTTCTGAAGCTGATGAGCCGATTCATGGGCAATAATGACTGGACACACTGCATTTCACCCTGGCCCTTCTGGAGGTGGGGCTTTGAGCTGATGAGGTGGAATGTGTGTGGAGAGCATGGGGATTGCTTAGGTTCCTTCAGTCACACTCCAGAAGTGGCCACTATCCCTGAGAGCTGGCCAAATCATGATGGGACCAGTCGTGGAGGCTGGATGGCCTGTGCTGGCACAGATGCTAATCCTGCCAGTGGAGACCGACTGGGTTGTGTGGACAATACAGTCAGGGGGCTGTGGGCAAGGGGTGCGTTGTATAGCACTTGGGCTTTTGGAGAAAGGGCAGGCAGGCTTTGGGGGCGTTTAGGGAGGGGGCATCTACCCACATACACACTCTCTGCTACCTCCAGTCCTTGCTATAAAAGGAAAGGTTGGGGGTGGGGAGAAGAGAAAGGGAGGGAGGAAAGGACAGAAGAAAGAAACCGAAAGAAGGCTCTAAAGTGGGATGTTGAGCAAGTTGACAGAGACAGCCCTGCTCACTCATGGAAGTCTCCCCCCCACCTCCCCACCACATCAGAGACAGAGAGAGCTTAAAGGGCAGCACTCCCTCCCTCTCAGTCGGGAAGCTTCCGACAGATCATACTACCTCATTTGCACCCTCTGCCAAATGGGTCCTATCACAGTCTTGAAGGAGGTCCCAGCCTTGTTCAATAGAAGCGGCCCGGTGACCAAACGTGCAGCCCCTGGCGTCATGTTGGGGGTCATGCTGATGCCCAGAACAAGGAGGCTCGCGCTGTGTTTCAGCTGTGCCCCCCAAGTTTCCTATGTGACTTGTGGGCTGCCTTTTAACTCCTCTACACTTCTCTGATCATCAAAAGCGAGATTCTGACAGCTGCCTTTTGTCTACCACACTGTGGAGGAGGACCTAGATGTTTCTGGAGGGTCTCAGAAGCAAAGTGTCTCATTGTTATTACTCCTTTCAGCTGAGCGCCAAACATCTGCTGTATTTGGGTAGTTGTATTTTTACATCACAAGAGTCCTCTGCATCCTTTGCACAGGACCTTACGTTTTTATTTTTTTATTGTGATAGGTACATATATAAGGAGCCCTGGTGGAGTGACGGTTAAGTGCTTGGCTGCTAACTGAATAGTTGGCGGCGGGAGGAACCCATCCAGCAGCTTCGCAGGAAGAAAGACCTGGCGATCGGCTCCCTTAAAGATTACAGCCAAGAAAACCCTATGGGGCAGTTCTACTCTGTCACATGGGGTAGCTAGGAGTCAGAATCGACTTGACAGCACCCAACAACAAGTATTTATGTAGCAAAACTTTTGCCATTTCAACATTGTTTACAGGTACAATTCAGTTACATTAATTACGTTCATCACGATCTGCAATCATCACCACTATCCTTTTTGAAAACTTTCCATCACCCTTAACAAAAGCTCAGTGTCCCTTAAGCAATGACTCCGTCTTTCTCCCTCCTCCTTGCTGTTCACATTTTTATATGCATACTTTAAAAACATTTCTGTTGTTGTTGAAGTCAAATATACAGAGAATTGCACAAATCCTAACTATACAGCTGGATGACTTGTCATAAAGCGAACACACCCACATGACCAGCCGCAGGTCAAAGATAGAACTTCACCAGCTCTCCAGAAAACCTCACTCCCACGAACTTAATTTTTAACACCAAGATACACTGAAAGAACAGGAAATAAGAGGAAAAAGTACCGTGTGTGTGTAAGGCAGATGTGAAGGCTGAGAAACTTCCTATGAGACAAAGACTGGCTCTTACCCTTTCTCCTAAACCCACCCTGCTGACCAGCAGGAGGTGGTGCCCGGAGACCAAGGGCAGCTCAGAGCAGGTGCCAGGCTCTGAGGCCTCCCACAGAAGCAGCGCCTGGACTGTGGGCTCAGGGATCTCTCTGGGTGTGCGGTTCACCCCATTGCTGGGAAGGGTGAGGAGGAGTACCCCGCGATGGTTGCTCCCCCCATCATGGGAGAAACTTGTGAAGAATCTGGGCCAGGGCAAAACTAGGGCAAGGGCATTCCTGCCACGAGCGGCACTTCCTCTTCAACGTTCAGCTTAGGTGCTGGGGCCGCGCTTGGGAGGCTCCAGAGGGGGGCAAATCCTTACTAATTATTTTATACTCTGAAAAGATTTCACCTACCACAAATAAAACAGCAAGGAAGCATTTAGAGAGCAATCAGTATCAGAAAAAAATATACACTAGTGCTAGTCCTCAGGGCCGGATGGGGTGGGAAGGGGCAGAGGGGAGACACAGAAAATACATCTGTAGGCCACCAGGGTCTAAACACGCCAAAGGCAGACCGTGAATCTGGGCTCAGGGCTTGCTGGTGACCAACCCGTTTGTTCCACAGGCAGAAGGGGCACCCAGCGGTTGAAAGTTGGCAGCCTCAGGCCCAACGCTAACATTTCATCTGCCAGCTGCTAACCTGAAGCATTGGTTGTATGAATCTTCCTACTACGTGGAAGATGCCCACAACACTTACTTTTGACTCTGAAAAACAGGAAGTAGCTCTGTTATGCTGTACGTTTGGAATCCAGCCTCAATTGGTTCATTTAACGAACATTGATTTGTTTAATAAAAACGTAATCTATTTGTACAGAGAGAAAGAGAAAGATGTAGGAAGAAATGTGTCATTTCTTTCTCCAGCTGTTCAATTGCTCCTGAGAGAGCTCGTCGTAAGCTTGGTGATTCCCTGAATCTTCTCACAGTGGTCAAGGAGAAGTTATCTTTTCAACCACAAGAAGCTGCCCTCCCTCCTGCTCTGGGCCTGTGTGCAGCCCTTCTCTGCACACCTTTGTGACACCCGGGGCAGGACCACTCGCCTGCTCACAAAAGCCAGGGGGAGCAGTGCTTCTTGGCTAGGCTGCACGGAGGTTTTCTCCACCAAAGGCAACCAGTGGAGGCCACAAGAGCATAGTGGCTAAATGCAGAGGCCTCACTACTCATTAACTGTGTGCTCTTGGGTAAGTGGCTTCATGTCTCGGTGCCTCAGTTTCTTCATCTGTTAAATGGGGGTAATAATAACCCCTGCTTCAACTGGTTGTTGGGAAGAATACATAAATTTGTATGTATTTTTTTTTAAGTGCCTAGGACAGTTTCTGGAACATGGTAAGCAAACAATACACATATGCTAAATAAATGAACTTGTATTGAGTTTTTCAAAACCAGTTCCCTACTGATTACACTCTGAATGCAGCCTGTCATGGATTGAATTGTGTCCCCCAAAAGTATCTGTCAACCTGGCTAGGCCATGATTCCCAATATTGTATGATTCTCATCTGATGTGATTTTCCTATGTGTTGTAAATCCTACCTCTATGATGTTAATGAGGTGGGATTAGAGGCAGTTATGTTAATGAGGCAGGACTCA